GTGGGTGTGTAATAGAGTGTGTGTACCTGGGGGACAGTCTTGGACTCCCTGTGTTTTGTCTGCCACGACTTTAGCACAAAACGTAAAATCACTGAAAAAAAAATCTGTCTTACCTTGTATGCCTGTTTAGCCCCTCTGCCTTTCCACCTAGTCTTCTCTCTCCTTTCATTATGTCCCCACATTCTTCCTTTCTATCCTGCTATACAGCAAATCTACATTTTCCGTAGCACCCTCTTTTAGCAGAGCCCTCTCATCTCTGCGTACACATTCTGCATAACTCTCCTTTCTCCACCCACCTCAGCCTTGGATTATTCATTGCTAGTCCTGCTTTTTCATGTTTTCTTTTAACCTGATTTAGTCCTCCTTACTTCAGTCTTTTTTTTCCCCTTGTCTTGTCTCTTTCTCCTTTCCCTCATTTCCTCCTCCTTTTTTTTTTTAATTTGAATACATTTTAGCACTAGCAATAAGCTTGCTAATTAAATACTGCTTCCCATTTGCTTTTCTGAATGCCATCTGATATAACTGTTCTTTTTCTTAATTCGGTAAATCCTTTTGCTACCAAAGTAAAATGAGACCAGGGGAAAAAAAAAAAAAGGAAAAGAAACATATTTAGTACATCTGGAAAGCAAATGCTAAGCTTTTTTTTTTTTTTATCAGAACTGAAGAAAATGATCCAATATATGCATTTCAAGGTCCCTCAGTACCCTGACCATAAAACGTTACAAGATGCATTAAACTGTACACGGTATGCTTAGGTATCATTAATGACCTTTCCTCAACAGAAATAAGCAAGGAAATTGAGAGTACTATCTGGGATCTCATCATCACTTTAAATTTTGGTGCCTAAATTTTGGTGCACATATGGTATAACAGATCACCCACTTTGTATAGACTCCTGCAGTACCTAAGCTCAATGGGTAAAGGATGGAGCTTACAGTTTGAAGACAGAATTTCTTTGTATTTATATATTCAGCCCAGAAACAGAATATAGTACAGTAGCATGGATTCTCTGATTTCATATCACTTTTTTGCAGTAGTACAGGAATGAAGAGAGGGGGAAGAAAAACAGGAAGAAAAATAATTCATCCCTCATATACATTCAGAGCATACACAGCAACAGTCCCTTCATTACTGGGTCCACTGTGAGTGTGCATTGAGGTTTGGAGCAAGAGACTTTATATTAAGGATCCATAACACTGATCGTGTATTAACAAGCCTCATAAAAGGTAGTTTTCATGCTTGCCTTCCACCATGCCTTCTAGTTGAAAATGCAGAGAAGAATAGCTTTTGCTGATTCCCTGGGTGTTCAAAGGGAGATTGAGTTTTACTGAGTGGAAGATAAAAAGGGCATTTATAACCCTTTGACCTCCCCCAAAGTATCTACCAAATAAGAAAGTGTGTGTCAAATTTATCTCAGGACTATATTTTTGCAGCCATGTCAAAGATTTCAGAAAAGGGGCCCACAATTGAAACACTGGCATCTTTCTGGGCAGTTAGGTGAATCTGATACCTGAAAGGTATGATGACAAGTTAGAGCTTTTTTTCCCCCCTGCAATTGCTATATGTATGCTATAAATGTAGTAGGGTGGAAACACACCAATGCAAGCTGCCTGGAAGCAGGATGGAAATAGCTGGATTGATGTTAGCTGGATTGAAGCACAAGAAATGCTTTGTCTTTGCATTTGAAATATTCATGTGTTTCTCACATTAAGTTTCATAACAGATGTGAGCAGTCTGTAGAATACCACCGTGGCATGGTACAGCATCACTGTGATGGCAAGGGGCCATAATAGCAGTTAGTAGAGACCCTGAAAGGATACACACAGGTGTCCTTTGGGAGCCTGACATACTTGTCTCGTGATTGTATGACTCTCATTTGTCTGTTTAGAAAGGGATAGTTTGTAAAGTTGGTCTTTTTCAATATTTGAAAGTTTAATAAATGCCATCCTGCGTATAGTGAGACCATCCATCATCCTGCTATGGGAAGCAAGTCAGTGGTAGTCACTACTCTTCTTTAGGGGAAATGGCAGCAGTAAATAATGAGATTAACTCTTGCTGTAAAAGTGCTGCACCTTTTAACAATCAGATTCGCCGGTTTTAGTTTGCTTAAACTGTCAATGCAAGATGCATGAAGCAACGCAAGGTGAATAAATCACAAAGGTGGAATTGCTCAAGTCTCTCAAAACCTCGTTGGATATTGCTAACACTAACAGACAGCCTGAATAATTCTGGAGGAGTGTGCAGTCACTTGTGTGCAAGAAAACGCAGCAGACACGCATGCTAAAAATACAAAGAAATACAACCACGAGATGTATGTTTGTCTGCATCCGTTTTGCAATGGGTTTTACAGTTACCAAAACACCAAGCACATAAATGAACTCTCTAGAAAAAAAATGATTATACCAACACTCTTTTTATAGCAACAGGGATCACTGAGGAAGTCAAGTCAGTTGAATGTGTTTTTACATATATCGATAGCACTTAGCATTCATGGTGTAGTCTTTGACTCATTCCAGTAACTGGTTTAAACCGATCTCTGTGTGTGGGATGACGGTGCTACATTTGGATTTGAGGAATGTGTGGCAGTGTTCAAAGTTTGAGAGCCAGATGCTTCAGCCCTTCCGTAGGAACCTCCCCCCCACCATTGCACTCAGTGGTTTTCATGAGTAAAGAATATAAGTTGTGGCCTTGAATTAACTCTGAGGGAGTATATGCTCTTAAAATGAGCAAACTTGAAAACAAGCAAGGGATGCTTTCCTGTTACCATCACTGCTGGACTCATTTATGTATACTGAGCCACTGGTGTCAATGGGAGTTTTGCCATTGGCTACCGTGGTGAAAGGATCAGGTTTGACACGTCATGGCACAGAAAGAGAAATGCACTTTTGCTCACAAACGAGCTATAATGATGTTAGCAAATATTGAAACAGTGGGCAGATTATAGGTGCTTTCCAAATAAAAGTATTGCATGTTAGGTTTAAAATTTGCAGTGAAGAAAAAAAAAACAACCCCCACAACAAAACCAAAATCCTGTGCCAATGCAGAATATCTTGGGTTTTACTTAGAGTAGTCTCCCTTAATCAAAAAATGTGGTTACAACATGTCAGCATCCTGTATATCCTTAATGTGAGATGTGGATTTGTAAAATGTAAAATTTTCCCAAGTAGAGGGGGAAAAAAAATAAGTTTGAGCTGTCTTAAGGAGGTGCTCATCTAACACAGAAAAAAATCATGTATGAAACGATTAGCTAAGATGAAGATGGTATAATCAGCTACTTTTTCAGAACAACATGGATTGATTCATGCTTGGTCTACATTTACAGGCGTGGTTTCGCCTGTTAAGGGTGATGCTACCTCTACCCCTTTTTTAACAGCTAAGTTGCCATATAAGAATGTGCTTCTTCTGGGGCATTTTCTGCTGTTGATGGTAAGCCCAGCATGAAGAAATATGTACAAAGTATATAAATTTTACAAAATCCTTCACGTGTAACAGTTTATTAGAATGGTATGCTATATAAAGGAAATTTCAGAAGATGCACTGCTGGATGCTAGAAAAAACATAACAGCCTCATTTTCATCGACACGAGTGGAGTTGTTCAAAAGAGCAATCAGTAGGTTGGTCACATACTGGCGTGAAAAATCCCAAATACAGGAAAAGCAAGCATTTAGAGAAGGGCAGTAAAAGAAAGCAGCAGTGGGACTCTGCACGAACAACTATGTGCATATCAGTACTGTCTGTGTCAAGAATTAGTGGGAGAGGGATCATACACTATTTTTTTCTTCCCTCTGCACATATTTTTGGAGGAGAGGTTGTTTGTGAAAGATGCCCTACGATGGACGTGAACGACAGGCTAGGCATTCACAGCAAGAACAGGTTTTTCTAAGTTTGCTATAGTACCAGAAGTCTGCTCTAATCCCCCTCTGCCTAAGGTGGCTGCAGTATTACACCCAAGGTTTTACTCTTGAAACACACAGAGCTTTCACTACTGAAAATTGGATGGCTGCCTCCTCAGTCCTTTCATCACTGCTCTACAGTGCACACAACAATGGTTTCTTTGCTTTTAGCATATTGCACAAGAGCAGGGAAGTGGGAAATGCTAGGAGATTTAGAGTAAAGCCCTTAAAAATATTTCTTTGAAAGGAAAATGATAAAGTAGCACTTTTTTTTATTTTTTAGGCAGTGTTTCAGTATTATTCTTTTTTTTAGGAGACTGCAATGTGGTTCATTTAGATACGGAACGTACTAATGAGCTATGCTGCATTTTTGTGGTTCTCAAAGCAACTTCCAAGTGAGCTGTCTTTAAAAATCCTCAGAAATATTCCCCTAGTGACACGGTTGGGACTTCAGCCTTTCTCAGGGGCATCGGCCCCTTCTTCTAGTGATACAGTCCCAGGTAGCGCATTTAACAAAAATATAATTTCAGTGTCATGCTTTTTTTTTTTTTGTTTTAATCTTCAGCATCATGATATAAGTGAATGTGTCATAATTACAATGTGAAGCCAGCTGGTGAATGTTACTCGCTCTGTTTTATGTGGCTTCCTTGCTGCTAGCCTTCCCATTTCAACACTGTATACGAAGAGGAGAGAGGTTAAACTGTTGCATTTTGTATACAGGGAGCAATTCATGTAATATACACCAGTCTGTAAAAACTGTAAATGCTATTTTTTTTTTATTTTAAACAGATTGGTTTTGTTTTTTGTTTTTGTTTTTTTAGTTTACAAAAATCAATAATTGGTACCTTTTTTTTACACTCTCAGATTCCTGAATATTGACAGATCTTCAAAGGGAGTATTACCATATGAAATTTCAAGATTGACTGTCCTGAAGATTTTTAAGACACAATAAAGCTAAAATATCAAGTCTTTTTTTAGACAGATCCTCGTACAATTTCAGCAAAGAAGTGCATCAGAAATCATCAGAAAAGCACATTAAACCCCCCATCCAACTGTCTCTCTGCCCATTGTTATTTGGTTGCACACTGTTTAGATCCCCAATGAAAGTCACACCTCGCATTCCCTTGCTGGCTGCTGGTGACAGGAACAAGATCCATATTCATTAATGATCACCAGGGCTCCTTCAATGTGGTTGGGTTTGTAATCAACATAATACTCCTGGGCCGACATGGCAGCCATTTGATGCATGGTCTGTTTCTGCTTCTGCTTTCTGCGCTGTGTCACAAAGCACTGTCTTAGTTGCCTTAGGCTGGCTGGGAAACACTTCCATGACACATACAACACTAAAACCACTATGAGAAAAGAGAAAATCAGCGCCATGGTCCCTGTCACCACCTTGTGAATCTGCACAGCATTCTCAGTGTTTTCACTGGGCATAGTTACGGTTATGGCATCTGTCGTTCTTTCCCCTTCGGTATCCTGCACGTCGTATATTGTCGTGGCAGGGCTATAACTCAGCACTTGGTCACTGTTGTTTGTTACTGCCGAGAAGGTGTTAACACTTGTTGGGTCTGCTGCGTCTTCGCACAAGTGAAAAGCATACACTGCATCTAAAACATCCTCGCCCTGCGCGTACTCAGGGGTGGCACAGAGCAGGTTGCTGTCGTAGCGACCCTTGAAGTTGCTCAGCCAGGAGGCCAAGGCGCAAACGTTGCGGCTGCAGTCCCAGGTGTTTGCAGAAAGGCTGATGCTAGTGAGTGATTTCCAGGAGTTGAGGATTCTCGGGTCGATGTAGGTTAGCCGGTTGGAGTCCAGCTGCAGTGATTGGAGGTGAGGTATGCTTTCAAAAACATGAGGCTCCATGTATTCAATCTCATTGCCAGAGAGATCCATTTTCTCGAGTTTCCATATCCAGTCCAAGGTATTAACTACAATAGTGACTTTATTCCTTCGGAGGCAGAGAGAATGCAGCGATATGAGCCTTGGAAAGTGGGCAAAATTCACCTTCACCAAATCATTGTGCTCGAGGTGCAGTTCAGTGAGTTTAAACAAGCCTGCAAAAGAGTTTCGAGCCAGGCTTTTCAACTGATTGTATCCTATGTCTAGAAACTTCAGACTGCGACAGTCCTGGAAAATTCTCACTGGCACAAACTTGATGGCGTTTGACCGCATGTGCAAAGTTGTTAGTTTTCTCAGTCCGTGAAACAGGTCTGGTTCCAAAGACTGCAGGTTATTATATGATAAATCCACACTGCGCAAGTTTGGCATGGGTCGGAAAGTGGTGTTGGGCAGTTGGGTGATTTTGTTGGAACTCAGGGTGAGTTCTTTAACTCTCCGCAATTTTTGAAAGGCATTCCCCTCCACTGAGCAAATGTGATTGTGATCCAGATAGAGCCACGTGAGCTGCATTAACCCTGTGAACTGTCCATCATGCAGCTCTGAAAGGCTGTTGTACCGCAGAGACAAGCCCATCATGCCCGACAGGTTGCGAGGCATCTCTGTAAGATTCAGTGATTCACAGTACAAAAGCCTGCCCTCACACCGACATAGCTGTGGACACCCACTATTCACGGCTGGAAGCATTTTAAAAAAGATACCCAGCGTACACAATATCAACCCTGGGGGCTTCCTCAGCAGCCAGTTTAAACAGAGACCAATAAGAAGGAAATCCATTAGCAAGAATATTTCCAAATAGGCTCGAGAATGTCCATTGAATCTTTTTCAAATTCTACATCATATTTTATTTAAAGGGGGAAAAAAAGACACAGAGCCAAACATTTCACTTTACAGCATGCAGAGGCTGTGCAGCATTAAAGTTCACAGGCATTCAAAGGTAAAAGGATAGTGATTATGTTCATGTTAAATGCTGCAACAAAGAAAAGAAATCTTTCTTCATGAAAGAATTTAATTAAAAAGTGTCTTACCCACCCTTTTCCAGAGAGTGACAACCTCCATTCAGTTGCTTCCTTTGTGTTTGGACTAATTATATGCAGAGCTAAAAAAGACCCCTCTGTGCTACAAATTCAGTCCCTTTCAATGTTGTGCAAAGCTGGCAAGCTCACAATGTCTTACTTTGCTTCTGCTCAAAGAGCTGAAGGGTTGTCCAGCTAGCTTTTTAGCTGACTTCTAGGACCTGCAAGTTTCAGAACTATGTGCATGAGCTTGATCTTCTCCTTCTCCCTCTGTCCTTTTCTCTGCGGTTAATACTGTGGCGTGAAAAAAACTCCAAACTCTGTCCTAACGACTCCACAGGATTTGACAATCTGTTTAATGTCCATCATTGGAAACGACCATTGACCGGCACAACCTTTACTCCATAGAGAAATTCATTCACTGACCGGCTAAGGATAGCTTTATTTCCCATTCTTTGTTCGGTTTGCTTGTTAGGTGATGCTTAGAGCAGAGAGAGAGACAGCGAGAATCCCTTCCCTTCAGCTGAGCAGTATGTTGCTAGAGCATGCAGAGGCACCTAGTGCTCACTGAGTGTCGTAGGCTACTCATGATTCTACGCCTGCACTGTGCATCTCAGACATGGGCAGATTGAAAAGGGGTGGGCATAAAACCAACATTTTAGTGAACCAGTAAAGTAATATATGTTCTTTGATGAAATGGAAAATACTTTAAGCCTATCTCTCCATTTCTCTCTCTCTCTCTCTCCCACACACACACACACACACACACACACTCACACACACACACACACACCATCATCATCAGCAAGGCATTTCTAAGTAGGAAGCTATACAATTATATTTCTTCCCCCCCCCCCTTTGTTTAAACTGTCTGAATACATACGGCATATAAGGATTAGATCGGGAGTGTGGCGGGGGAGGGGGAATTTGCCTTCTTATTTGGAGGGTGAGCATAGAAAAAAATATCGTCTTGGTTGTCTTTCTAGATTTGAAAAGCAGAATCCGATCCCCAGAACGATTTCCCGGGAACGTGTTTTCATTCGGACCCTCTCTAAACGGCGCTTGCTTGGGAATGCTGTGCATTCTCTCTCAGAAATGCAGTCGGAGCTCTGTAAATATGAATGTCTATATTCATACACGCTTTAATTACATTTGGCTCTTTACCGCCCTGCATATTTTTTTTATACGTACAGCACATGCTTTTCCTAATGGCTTTTTTTTTTTTTTTTGCAGTATAGGCTATGGCATACAAAACTATTATTCTTGCAGCATAAAGAATGCTGTGCTTTTTGAATGAAGTCAGCCTGAGGGTTACCCCATCAGTGTGTCTGTGGTGGGGGAGAGAGAGGGGGTTTAGAACCCAATTAGGTTAATAAGTTGTCCAAATTGTTCCATGCAGCAAGAAATCCTTGCCTGCTATTTTTTTTTTTTTTTTTTTTTTTTGTAACCCGTTAGCTATAGCA